CCTTATGAGGGTTTCTTCCGTAGAAAAGGCGCTACGCAGCACCTGCTGAGGGTCGCGGAATTCCGTCCTGCCAGGCGGTATCAGTCCTACTCTTCTTAGAGATTTATCGTGCCAAGTGCCTTTGACCATTGCAACTGAGCTGTAAGGCCTGGTCAGTCACAACCCTAGGGCTTCAACTATTAGTCACAAATAAACGGGCTGTGGAGCTTTACCTCGCGAGTTCCCGCGTAAACGTCCACTGGCAATGCTTCCCAGCTAGTTGACTAGACTATGGGAGAGCTAGCCGAGTTAAGAGAAGTACAGTCTCTGCGCAGACAGTCGAGACAGACGACGCGAACAAATGCGGCACTGTTACGTTGAGTGATTGGGTCTTGGTGCGGATGCTCTGTACGTCACCCTTGTGAGGCCTAAATCTGCGCAGTAGCCGAAAGTAACGGTCTACACCAGTGAAAAAGCAACGTATACAATTGCCCAACGGGAAGCTGAAATTCGATGCATTCTAAGCTCTCTTTTACTAATTAATACCGGTTTTTTAGCAAGGTCAGACTACGACAGGTGGTGGCACGGAAGTAGAATTCGACGATAAGGTATGTGAGTTGGAATTAATGAAGTTAACTTAAACTTAAAATGCTCTTCCATGCTGCACAAATTATCCCATTAGCCTTCTCTGAGCTACCCAAGGGAGTCCTCCAATCCCAGACGGAGTGGAGCATATACCGATCAAAACTACCGTCGACAAACTTGAGCCATTAGGATTTCGGACAGCATTCCGGAAGCAGGACCTTGCTGGAAGTGTTCACATGTGGAGGTGGGAAAGGGGGTCGGAGGCTAGGGGATACAAAAACAGGTACCATCAAAACGGCGACCGTCTCTACAGCGTTACCGAAGAGAATAAGCCATTAGTGGTACGATCGCGTCAAAGAAAAGAGTTTTCGCCGTTGCTCCATCCCCTTTGGGTATGCGCCACGCATTCCACTTCCCTTTGGGATCGCAGTTGATCACTGAATGCAATGTGGCGCATAAAATAAATTGCGTGGCTAGTCGATGTACACCTTAGTGTTTCTATCCTCCCAGACCGACCTGGACCAAATTACCGTCCCTGGAGGATAGAAGGCCTGGTTGGCCTAGGCAGGATTGGCCTGGGATTTGACCCCCGGACTACGCGCATGATAAGCGTACCGCATGTCCCTACACCACTTCCGCCTTAGGACCAGTTTAGATATTCACAGATTCCCTCGCTAATTGTGTCACTTCTGCTCAAAGAAACATGAATGAGAGCATGTAGCCAAATTTTCACAGCTATTTCGACGTTCAGTTTGATTACTCTGTTTCAGAAGGAGAAGGTACCCACGATAAGAAAGTGTTACGGGTGCGCTAATTTTTGCATTTAATTTATTTCAGTTGGAAATCTGAGAGAGAGATTTTTAATGGAATAAACAACTCATTTTCAGTCAATAAGGCAGCCAATAAAAGGGAACAAGGCCACACAAAGCCCAGCGCCTAAGGTAGGTAACTGATACATTCCATGTGAACAAGCCCTAAATACCCTATATTTCTCTTTTCAGTCGATGAAACTGCCCCCGAAAGATCCCAAGGTAGGTAGTTTACATATTCTATGTTAGCGATCCCTCAATATACAGAATTTCTTCTAGAGTCGTTGAAACAGTCCCCAATGCCTTGCAAAGTAAGTTCTTCAGCCGGTTTACTTTGGGAGGTAGTTTCTTGATTTCAAGTCAATCACGCGGCAGGATGAGGTTTCGGAGTCACGCTGGATGCTTGAAGGCAGTGGGATTGCTGAGGACGAGCGGTTGCTGCCAACACCACTTTGAAAGGGCTGAGTGAGGCCACAGGCAAAACGCCTTCTAGCATTCCTTTCACTAATGACGTCGGCGACAACCGCCCGCCCCCAGCAACCATGCCCACTGCCTCTAAACAACTTCGGCGTGGAATCCAGTTGACCCTCTTTCGCCGCTGGCTGGTATGGAACTTCTGGTAAATCCTGACAGTTCGACTCATTCGAGGGCTCGAAACCTACGGCGATCCCCATCCTCCCCCCCCCCCCCTCCCTTGACCAGTTGCAGTTTCATCCAATGAGCACTCTGGGGAGTCACGTTGTGAGTTCGAGGACTCTTGAGGGGCAAAGATGGCACACATCTCTGAGCTACCTTCTGAGCCGACGTCATTGTGCGACTCTCGTCGGTAGTTCCGATTTCTTGCTGCCCATACGAGTCCACGATAGTCCCATAGGAGCCTTCTGTGAATCCTTATCGCTTACCGCTTGAGAGAGGGCGCCGCTCCTCACGGGTACCCCACATATCCGGTTCTAAGCGCACGCAGCTCCTATCGTTCTCATTTCTCCGACTTCCTAGCATTTATTGATGTCCTATTTACCCTTGACGTCGGCCTACCCTTCCATTCTGCCGAGCCACCATGCCCATCATTCCTCCATTGAAATGGAATAGTGTAGTCCTGAGCCGTCACCTTCCCTGGAGCTATGATACAGCCTTTCCTCGAGAAATTTATTAAATTTATCAGCCTGTATGCTGAAGACGTGATCGTTTCGTTCTCCTGTATTCCTCCTAATGAAATATTCCAGTAACCTTGCTGCTGAAATCGAAAGAAGAATCTCAGTTGATATTTAACTTGTACCTAACATTTGATAATTTTTTGGTAGTTCTGTCTTGTTCACTGAAAAAAGCCCTAAAAGTATCTTGTCCAGAGCAGTTGTCAGCTGAAGTGAAAAGTCACAATCCTATGAAACTATCAGATGCTTTTAAATTGCCTTCACAACGATTGAATTGTATTTTGAACATCATGTATTTATAACATTAGTATTTCCGAGTAAAGGCAATAAAGATCCTTGAAAATTTTGTATAGATATATGAAATTGTAAAAGCGCGCAATTATACCCCCTCCCGCCTAGGTTGGCCACCCCAAAAGCAGTATACAACTAGTACTTCTATAGATGAAATTAGTGATTGATTGGTGCCCCTCCCCCTTCGCTTGACGGCAGTTTTTCTTCGAATGCCACATATACAGCAACAGGAGTACTTATTTTATAGCTCGCTGCTGATGAAGGGGCGTGTCAGTGCGGCGGGTTTGGCGCACCGCCAGCTCGTTCTCTACTAGTTCTTAAAGCGGCTAAACAACGGCATCCAGTGGAAAACGACTTATACGAACGATATGATACAATCTTACCACGCTCGCTTCAACAACTGGTGGTGCAAGGGTTGCAGGGGTTGGTAAGACATCGATGATTCGTCTACGATAACGGGCGAAACGGATCATCTGTGATGTTGAGTGTATTCCTTTCCCCAATATTTGTTTCTTTGTTTCTAATTGGCACCGCGCTGTTCCGTACAGGGCACATCCTACCGTTGGAGGAAAATTTTGCAAAATACGATATTCACCTTCCTACCTATCACCCTCCTAAACACCAACAACGTTCTCGAAGTTTTCTCCGAATCTCTCGTTTCTCCTTCTTAGCGGAAAGTGTAGTGGGGAAGAGGCTAAAAGTCAAGGATCGATTGGATATACTCACCTTATCCACTTATTTTTGTAGCACTGTCGAGATAACGGGCTGTACTCCCAATGCCAAAATCCTCCAAGACGGAATGGTGCTGGACCGAAACCGGCATAGCAACAGTCACCAAAGATGAAACTTCCCTGGAAATACGCGTTTCTTTCTACGTTCAGCAACACGAAGCACTAAAGAGAAATATTCAAAGACAGCAAATTTTTGTTTTCAAGAATATATTGGTTTGAGAATGTCATCACATGAACCCCTTGTGCAAGAAGTTGAAGTAGAGATAGCTACCAAAAGGGCAATGAAGGGATTGCGAAATTGTAGACTTTTTCCTTTGTTCTTATATTTCTTCTAGCCTTCCAAGATTGAATAACTTTATTGAAGGCCTACGTTTCGGCGTCTTCGCCTTCGTCAGAGCCTGAAATGGTCAAAAAACATTTCGAGACCTGCTCGCTCAAACATTTCAACAATACTCAAGATCAAGGTAAGCCAGAGTTCCGCCTTCGATCGATACCGTTGGGTGGTTTACTGGTATATGGAAATCGTCTTGAGTATTGTTGAAATGTTTGAGCGAGCAGGTCTCTAAATGTTTTTTGACCATTTCAGGCTCTGACGAAGGCGAAGACGCCGAAACGTAGGCCTTCAATAAAGTTGCTCAATCTTGGAAAGGCTAGAAGAAATATAAGAACTATATACATCCAGGGTACAGCATCGTTGTGCGAAACCCATAGGGGGTCGTACTTGGCCGCTGGGGAGGGGGGGGGGTCGTAATCTCAAGGGTCACTCAGAGCCGGGCAATGCTTCGACATTTCAGTTGATAGTGGGAGTGGAGCTATGGAAGTCAAGATGTTAAAAAAATGAAAATTATTATGAGTGTATTCTTTACAGATTTAACTGCTACGTTTAACAGCCCTCTTTTCATGCGAAATCCCCAAAAATGGGTTCGTACTTGGCCGCGGGGGACGTGGGGAGTATCGCAAAGTAGGCTCGCTAGGCATCAAACAGTACAAAAGTGTCATTGCTAAGTTTGATGGAACGGACGGAAAGCTGCAGAAGACCCGGATGTAAGGAGGACTACAAAAAAATAAAAAAATTGGTTAGCAATATAGCAAGAATAGCAAGAATAAATAAATAAATAAAATTCAATATCATGAACTCGTAAGTGATTCTTTGACTCAACGGATTATCAGTTTTTGGAATAGTTTGCCAACCAGTACTATAAATTCGAGTTCTCCTAAGTCGTTTAGGAGCAAAGTGAGAAAAGTTATGATTTCACAAGGGTGGTTCTGAGAACAGAAACTAAATTATTACACTTTGAAAGGCTGAGTGGCGATTAAGTGATTTTTGTATTCCTATTTCCTGTACTGTTGTATTTTTGACTGTGTGTTAAGTCGCCTTACATTGAATGTGTTTTGTGTTACTATCAAGATGTATATTTCTTACCTAGTTGCACCCCATTGCTAATCCTTGCCTGCGGCTGTTGGAGCTGGGTCTCAGTAAAGTTGGCGGACCTACTAAGTTGGTATCCGGAGTCCTATTTGATGCGTGGATGGACTTGCAGTGTTGGCGGCCACTGCCCTTCTGCACTGATTACCCCCTCTACACCGCAACAACTTTATGCTGTTTTCCCACTGAGTTCTAGGTTGATTATCGGAGATTTTTTCTGCGTTTCCTTTTTTATGTGTGCCACTGTCAATAGAATGCCGATAATCCTTACATTCTATAAACCACTAACTCTGTGTGTCGGTTTGTCGGTATGTATGTATGTATGTATGTATGTATGTATGTCTGTCCGTCCGCAAAATGCTTCACGGGTTCAAACACGTCAGTGTAGGAGAGTGTACGACCGCTAGCCGGTGGCGAAACCAGTTGGTGCAGATGTATCAATCCAATGTTTTGATTGTGATAACACCCTGCACTATATAAGAGAACCATGTAGTGCACTCCAAACCATTGCACGAGCTGCTCGCGTGGCAGGTGGACGTGAGCACGTGCAGCGGCCGGGATGGGGAGTGGGTGGGGCAAGTGGGAGTGGGGAGGGTATAATGTGGGTGGGTGGGATTAGTGAGGGAGAGTACGGGAGGGGAAGCATAGAGTGCGTTTAGTAGAAACTCATCACAAGTGTGGTAATAAAAGCGCCAATGAAAGCGATAAGGTGAATAGAGGAAGGATCAACCGCTAGCAGAGTCGCGAATAAAATCCATGTTTTGGTATCACTTTGAAAATGTGTGGTTGTTTACAA